ATATATATATATATATATATATATATATATATATATACTGTATATCTCCAATATCAACCAATAATGCTAAAAAATATCTGATATTTTAATAAAATAATCAGTTATAAATGTAAATGTAAAAAAAAATGCATACTGTTGTAGTATTTTTGGGGGTTTGGTAGTGAAGTGAAGTGAAGTGACGTGACATGTGGCCAAGTATGGTGACCCATACTCGGAATTAGTGCTCTGAATTTACCCCATCCAAAGTGCACACACAGCAGTGAACACACACACACTTTAATAGCTTTACCTCATGTCTTCTTTTGTATAATCCTTAGAAGCCAAAATCGAAAAAAAAAAATTTAATTAGCTTAATAAAACAGCCACAGGCCTAAAGTGTAAGCAGATGTTTGAATGTTTAGTTCTCTCTTCTATCATAATTAAACAGGGCTTTCATGTTGCGTGTGCTGAAGCTCCTCCGCGTGGGCGCGATCTCGCTTCTGAATTGTGAATAGCAAAAATGCATCATAGACAAATGTTTGAAAAACATCTGGCGACTCTGGTGAGATAGAATTTGCAAGATAATGTATATATAGCAATAATAAATGTATGTGTGTTTTATTAATTTTTCCAGTACCGATAGCAGAACCGTTAACGTCAGAGCTTATCGATACTCCGGTCTTTCATAATTTAGCCCCGGGAACGATTAAATACCGGGTTTCGGTGCCCATCCCTAGTTACGAGTCCGACTCTCTAACCATTAGGCCACGACTTGTATCATGAATGACTGTTAAATCTAGATGCAATAGTGTCACACCTTTCACATTAGAAACCAGTTTGCCTCCTGTCTTCCCAAAGAGTGCAAGTTCGCTGGTGATGGCCTCCAACATCTTGACGAAGTTTGGCAGGAAAAGGATGATCTCCACTTCATGGTTGGCCAAGTGCCGGCCACAGCTGATGCCCTGAGCACCTTGGACATGTGGTCCACACAGCAGGACTACCGTGGGCCGTTGATGCACATTCTTTGGGGTAAGTCTACGAGAAAAATCAGACCAATGATAACCAGACATGCTGAAGATATTTTTGATTATGCAATTTCTTTTAAAGCCCCACAAACCTGTTCGGGCCTCCAAGTAGCGTGAGGGCCATCTGACTCGCACATACACCTGTCATTTCAAGCCTGCGCTCCAGAGAGAGACCATGACTTTCTGCTGCAGCTAATAACCGCTTGTGCAACTCGAAAGAGATGCTGGGTACCACCAGCCCTGAGTCTGGGAGAAATGGCATGAATTAAGACAAATTGAGATAAATTATTAAAAAGATCATGAGGTCAGATTCTTACCAGTGCTATATTCTTTCGTTCCATTCTGTGGAACTATGATCTGTCTGTAGACGACGGGTTTGGCCTCTAGGATGTTCTCGTCATGCCGGTATCGTGATGGCGTTTGCTCTCCAGACGTACCTCGAGATCTCGCACCATTGCCTCGCCGTTCTGACGAATCGATCTGCGAGAACACCGCAGCCTTGTCGAACAGCGCCAGGTTCCCCTCAAAATCAAAGTCTTCATCGAGAACATCTTCCATACCATCTCCAAAACATTCATCGTCTTTGTTCTTCATATGACCTCCGTTCTTCAGCCCATTCTTTTTTGGTGTGGCCTGATTTGGACCTCTGCAACTAGACGACCCTAGAAACAGTTAAAGTGGGCATTAGTTTTCCACTCCAAAATCTTTCCACTTTTTAGTTTTCATAGGCCACATTTCCACTGTTTTTAATCAATTTAACAAGACTAAATTAATAATTATCATGATTTTATAGTGATTTTGAATTAGAAATATTAAACAAATTGTAATGGTAATACTGCAAATGCTGTAAAATAAAATTGAGTAAAAAAATATTCTAATTATCTGTACACTACTTTTACTTTTAAATCTCAACCTGCTCAATTTCACAATCCTACAAAGCTATATATGTGTATGTGTGTGTGTATATATATACATACAGTATGTATACACACACAATAGTTACTATTGGCATTTTACATTGATATGAACTTTTTATATTAATTTTACAGTTGTGATGGATAAATACTTTTTGACAGTGAAATATAATAGTAATATTTCTTTTTTGTTATTGTTATTGTTTTTAAATATTTTATATATTTGTATTTATTATTATTTTTATTTAATAACCAAACTGATATATAACAAAATTTGGACCAAATTGTGCAGCCCTACAAACAAGCATAGCAAACCTGGAATACTTCTTTTAATCGCATTTTAAATCGCAATTGCAATTTTATCTGGAAAATCCATACATTTTGCAGCTCTAATACAAATACATAAACATATATATAAAAAAAGTTAAAATCTGAAAGATTAGATTCAAAATCCAATGACACAGGAGACTCACAGGAGTTGTGTCTTCGTCTAAAGCCTTTACTTTGGACAGCCATGTCCATGTGACGTTCACCATAACTCTTTGAGTAGTGTGGCACTGGAGACACCCCTCCTTCCTGCGTTTTATGTTCCGTTTTGTTAGGTACCGTCAGAGGAGCGCTATTGCCCGGTGCGCCACCACCCTTATCATTGCGTCCGCCATGTGGCGTCAATGTGGAGCTGGAGTCTGGACCATTCTGCTTTGGGACTTCAGTTGAGCTCTTGCGGATTTCTAGGATTTTAATATCTTTAATGTCCATGGCACTGCGGATTAGAAATAATATCGTTTTTTAATATAGTCAACAATAGTATTTGGTATCCAAATTCTGATTACCCTGTATTAAATTGTTGTATCAAGAATGTTTAATAACATCATACTTTGACTTTGTAGAATATGACCAATGAGATGAGATGGTCTGTCTTAATATCATTCAAAAAGAATCAAAAACAGACACTACAATGTCAGACAGTGAACCTTTTAGGATCTTCATTTTATTATTCACCTGAAGGTGACCTCAGGCACAGTGCACTTGACTCCATTGTGGAAGGGAAGTCTGAGAGAGATGGTCTGGCTGGTCTGATCTACTGAAGACACTTCTCCTTGATAAACTCCCAGAGTTGGTCCACAGTGGATTGAAACAAGACAGCCAATCCAGTCTGATGCCATTCTGACCAGCTGAAATTAGATCAAAAAGACGTGTTGTGTTTTTTATGACACTTTTACATCAAAACACGGCTCGTAAAGAGTTATTGGTAGAGAAAACCATTAATATGAAGAATATTATGGAGAGATAAGTCCAGCATTGAACGTTAGATAGGAAGATGCTAATGTTAGCCAGCTCGATGTACAGGACGCAACTGCTTTATAAGCGACTTTTTCGTCGTCGGTCAAATAGAATTAGTAAAATTAGTTCCTCACCTGTTGTCAAGAGTAAATCCGTAAAATAATACGAATAACTGGTATACTGAGATATATTTTTTTTATTAACTCTTCAGAAGAGCTCGAATGCGTGAACGGCTTCTTCTATAATGATTCACTAAGCGAGAATCCATTTTGAATCGGTTTACTGCCACGTACTGGACAACCGCGGAAGTACACTGAGATGCAGGTAGTGGTGTAAACATAAACATCTTAAATTAAACAATTATTAATATTAATTCATATTTATAATATTATTTTTTGCTAATTTTTATTTATATAATATTATTAAATTATTGTTAGAATGACTAATTAATAATAATAATATTTATACTTTATAATTAAATATTATTATTATTATTATTATTATTAAATTAAGCAATATTCACCACCAGGAGCTTTTGTTTACATTTTTAAAGGAAATACATTTTTAATTTGCATATATATTAGTGTTAATTATAACATAAAGCCAACATCAAATACTAAAATTTAATTTTCATTAGCTATGCGTGACATTTTGAGAAGTTAGTGTTATCTGTTAAGGTTAAAGGCAGAAGAGGAACCTGCACATGTCTGGTAGAAACAAATCATTCAAGAAGCCCATTCACCGTGACATTTCCCACAAGCTCCAGCAGAACCTGAGATGCCTTCAGGGCTGTCTGAGAGGTGACAACCAGCGCCAGCACAGTGTTTGTTTGAACAAAGGTGAAGCAGGACTCAACACAACCGGCCCTCGAGCCAGAGACTCATACAAGATTTGATTTGAAGTGATATTGCTTTATTGTGGTGCTGAATAAATAAATAAATATTACATTTCAAAAGTGAACTATTTATCCTCTTCAAGTGACACATTATTTTACCTGAAATGGCCATTATCAATTATTATTTAATATAAAATAAAATTGGAATTATTAACATTTCTAATTATAATTATTATTTAATATTAAATATATAAAAATATATAATATATGCAACAAACATGCAATATATATGATACTATTATGAACTATTTATCCTCGTGTGACACATAATATTTGTCATTATAGAATGATTAAAAAAGGCATGCAGTTTTATGTAAAAAACATATCTAGCATTAAAAATTTAATGTTTAAAAATGTTGTAAAAATAATTCAGTTTAAAAATGTTGTAAAAAATAATTCGTGCGTTATTTATTATTCGATTCATTTTTATTTGTTCTTTAATATAAAATAAAATTAATCAATAAGTCAAAATAAATATTAAAATCAAAAGCCAATCAACACTTACAAAATCTCCGTGATCCCGCCTCCCGAATTACGCCACTCTCATGTGATCATATGACAACATCACAACAAAAATGTCTGACTGCTTTTCGGTGCGGTCATTTTTTAAAATCGTTTTACAAGTATAATAAAAGGTGTATGCGTTTGCGTCAAAGCCTCATCCAAGTGTGCATCTGATGATGACGTTTTTGAATTAAAACCAAGTCAGACGCAAACTAGCCAGTGAATATTTTACAACGTAAGCGACTATAACGTTACTTGTATCAATCGGTTAATTATTGACTTGATTCATGATTAACGCTAATATCTTGTGTTTTATGAAAAGCGTCATCATGGAGCCCACAGCATCGGGGATATTCTGTAACAGAATGCTCAGTATGGTGAACTCTGAAGACGTGAACGCCATCATTCAAGCTCAGAGACACATGTGAGTTTCCTTATCTAGTGACCTGCCTAGGCAGCATTCTTATGCCTTTATCCTGATTTTGCTGCATGTATTCATGTATTCCAGGCTGGACCGGTTTGAGAAGACCAATGAGATGCTGATCAACTTCAACGGACTGTCCAATGTGCGCTTACAACAGATGAATGAACACTTTCTAATGCACACCCGCACTTTAATAGAGATGAAGAAAGACTTGGACAGCATTTTCAGACGAATAAGGTATTATATTCACAACTTAAGACATTAATTATGATGATGTGGGAAAGCTAAGATCTGACATGAACACTTCTCCCTCCATTACAAGCAAGTGTATGATAAGATTAACACATTCAAGCTTGCCATGGAAGTTTGAAAATGCAAACAATGATTGTTAAGCATAATATTACAATTTATTGTGTAACATTAGTTATTTCCTATTAATAATATAATTTGTGTTTCCCCAGGACTTTAAAAGGCAAAGTTGCGAAACAATATCCAGAGGCCTTCAGCAGTAAGTTATAATGCAGGTTTTTTGTATTGGGATGCACTACGATTAATACGGTGGCTGAGAAGTGCAAAGCAAATCACAATTCTGAAAACAAAATAACAAATTACAAACGCAAATGCAACTACTGTTTTGGCAAAATAAATAAATAAAATGCAAAAATAAAAATCAGTAGTTTTTGTCCATGTTAAAACAATATTGTGGCACCTAGGAAAGACTAATCACAAAATGGTTAAATCTTAAGTAAAAAATAATAATAATCTAGCATTATCCTTTTTAGTTTCTAAAAACAAAAAATGAGCATCCACAATTGAATATCCAATATTTACCGATATAAAAAAAAAAATCACTAATGTACACTACAGTTCAAAAGTTTGGGGGTCAGTAAGATTTTTTAAAATCAATACTTCATTAATACTTATTCAGCAAGGATGCATTAAATTGATCAAAAGTGACAGTAAAGAAATTAATAATGTTACAGTAGATTTCTATTTCAAATAGATGCAGTTCTTTTGAACGTTCTATTCAACAAAGACTCCTGGAAAAATGTATCAGAGTTTCCACAAAAATATTAAGCAGCACAGCTGTTTTCAGCATTGATAATAATAAGAAATGTTTCTTGAGCATATTAGAATGATCATGTGACACTTTTGAATGGTCGTGCATAATACAAAATACATTGTGCCTTCCTTATTTTGTACCAGTTTTGCTCAAGTTGTGTAATCAGACTACTTTGTTTGCAACAGACATCAATGAATGTTCCAACCTGGAGGATGATGATGATGAATTTGACCCCATACCTCCCAGCGTGGCCACCACCATCACTACTACTGCAACGTCCGAACAGAGCACGGAGTCATGTGACACAAGCCCTGATGTGATATCGCCCACCATTAGCTGCTGTTCTGAAGACCCCTCTCAAGAGAACACCGGCACACCAACCTCTGACAGCCATGAACAGCCAGTGTTACGGGACGAGGGGCCAGATTCAGCTGACATTTAGATTTATGTGTCCTACATACAGATGCCACTTAAAAGTACAGTGATGCAAGCCTATAGCTTAAGGTTTATTATGCGAAAATGTTTTTAGTGCTACTAATTTGGTACTGTTGTTAAATGTTATTTAAATTTCATGTTTTCTGTTCTAGCTTTATATATTTAAGTGACCGCTGTGGTAATGGCCTGGAAAAATAATGCAAACTAGCCTACTTTTTGCAGACAAAAAAAGTTGTACGGATACATTTAAAAACAGACATGTTTACCTTGTGTTGTGAAATTTTCATGTTCAGAACCGCATTAGTTATTATTTAGTATTATTTCTGAATTCAGGAAAAAAATGTATGTCATTAAATAAAAGCTTTCTCATAGTGCACAATGTGAGTCTTTTAATTAGACTATGTTTGCTTGGATTTTGATTATTTTGAACTCTAAACTCGTACTATTTCTAAAACATAAAGATATGACAAATAGTACGAGTAGTAAGCTAGTACTAATTTTTCCCCGTATTTTGATGACTACATATCCCATAATCCACCAGACCGGAAGCGTGCGACTACAACACAGCTTCTCTCTTTCCCGAGTGCTCTACATTTCTGTCCGTTATTTCATTAAACGCGTATTGTATAAGGAGATTATTTATTTGAAAATTGCAGAAACCACAATGTGCCGTTTAAAATAGGATTTCAAGGTAGGTAGAACACAAAGTAAGTAAAATAGCAAGCCAGACAAGTGCACGGCTAGCAATGGCTAACAGTAACCATAGACAACTGAGCATTCACAGACGAATTGTTAGAAAATACTCTTTAAAAGCTGTTTACAGTCAAAATAGGTCTACGTCCTAGCTTATGTGCTTAAACGTTTCGCATTTTTAGCATTGGGCTAAATGTATATAATTGTGCAACTCACCTTGATTTATCAATAAATGATGAATCGCAGACTAAATTCATGAGGAAGATAACAGCCAACTGCTGTGACGATGAGGAGGCTGAACAGAAAAAAAGCCCTGAACTTTGTAAAGGAGTTGGATGCTTTTCCCAAGGTTCCTGAGAGTTATGTGGAGACAACAGCCAGTGGAGGAACTGGTGAGATGAGCTGAGATTTCATTTGCCATATCCTCCTGAGAACCATAAAAAAATGTTTTGTGAATGTTGTTTTTTTCTCATTACATTGGTTGGAGCATAAGAAACAAATGGAGGATGTTACGTTATTCAACAAAATAAATAGACATGAAAAGGCATGTATAGGCAAAAACAACGTTTTATTTTTTTCAATCACCAATCGGTTTTTAGGTTTCAGGCTATTTTTAACCAAACCTTGTACAAAGATGATTCTCAACTATGTTATGAAAGATATAACAGAATGATTTGATATACTACTGTACTTTATAGAATATGTGCGTAAAATGTCATAAATTGATATTCCCATTCTATACAATGTATCTATACACTGCATCTAATTTGCATATTAATGTATTCTTGGGGAAAACCATAATGAAAAAATAAGTGTTATAATGGGAGTAATAACTTTTTCATTAGAATATCTCATATTTCATAGGAATATCATCTGTAATTTCTTTCCCTATTGTTTCCCCAAAATGCCTGATTAACATGATGTTTGTCCTGGTGTCCTCTACAGAAGACATGTATGAAAATTATGCCTTGTTTCGTAACAAAACCTCATTCCGATTTTAAACCCCATAACATTTTTCTGAGATGTTTATTTACAACAAAAAAATGTAAAATTAGTCAGATTTAAATGATAATTACAAAACAATAATTACAAAACAATATCATATTTCCCGAAGAGTGCTAAATTTGATCATTCTGTCAATATCAGTCATATTTAAACACCAAGGAGAAGGTTTGTTTATGATCAAACCTCCAAACATTTGATATCTCTAAAAAGCCCTGAATGTGCTCTGTACAGGACATCCAGACGTAAAACTGTGGCATGTGTGGTCTCAGAGAAATTCACTAAAATATAATGTCCTCTATAAAGGACAAAAGTCTGTGCCGGTCCCAGGAGAATATATATTCATTTGATGTACTAAAATAACTAAATCTGAGGTAAATAAATACTATATAGATATACATAGTGGAAAATATAAATTTAAAATAAAATATAAAAACATTAATAAATAATAGTATCTCAGTCATGTCTGTGTGAGTTATTGTATAGTTATTTACTGTAGATAATATTGCACATTTTCCTTTCTGACTCTTCTCAAATATTACAGCTGTGGTACTGAATTGAAAAACCTTAAATTATATTGTTTTTAATTTTCTTCCTCAGTGTCTGTGTTGGCCTTCACGGCCATGGCACTCTTGGCCTTCTTTGAGTTCTTTGTATATCGAGACACATGGATGAAATACGAGTATGAAGTGGATAAGGATTTTACTAGGTGATTTTACTAGGTCTATTTTGTTATTATATATAACATGATTAAAAACACTAACATTTTGTTTATATTTTCATCTTGCAGCAAACTACGAATTAATATTGATATCACAGTTGCCATGAGGTGCCAATGCAAGTATATCTTACTATAGTAATATGTTGAATAAACTGTAGCATAAAATTGTCAGTAATTGTCAGGGTTTTTTTTTTTCAGTTGTTGGAGCAGATGTGTTAGATCTAGCCGAGACGATGGTGGCATCTGATGGCCTTCAGTATGAACCTGTGAGTAGCTGAATGTTACTTATTTGCTAGAATCTTGTTAAAGTGGTGCCATAACATATTTTACAATTCTTCTGCAGGTTATTTTTGATCTTTCTCCTCAGCAGAGGCTCTGGCACAGGTAAATTAGGATTATCATGATCATATTTTCTTAATTATTATCATTAATAATATTTAAATTGCAATAATATATAAAGATGTGATTATTTAATAAAGCAATAAGCCCCAAGAAGCCGTGGTTTACAGTGAATTTATATTTACTATGGCTTGTTGCTTTTATACAACGGTTATTCCATATATTTAGCAAGGTTTCACAAAATAAAACAAAGCAAATAAAATGTAATGATATTAATAAAAACATTTTTCTTCCGCCAAACAATGTAGTTCTTTAGAAACGTGCCGAGTAACACACAAACGTAAACAAAGGTGTATGTTTGTAGAGTAATTTACAACAGCTTTGAACGCGGCTCAGCCAATCAGAATCAAGGACCGTCACCGGAACTATCCGTTTTATAAAGAAAAATCCTAACTGTTATGGTATTGCGTCCATCAGGACGCTTTTGCTCATTCAGAACCGTCTGTGTGAGGAACATTCACTCCAGGATGTTTTGTTTAAGAACGTCATGAAAGGTGCTCCCACTGCTCTCCCACCCAGGTCAGAACACATGACACCTGTACGGGAACATATTACGCCACGTCAAACAAGAATCGTGCAAATATAGTAGTCTTTTCTAATGAAGTATGTCGTTTTCCATTCACTCTGTAGGGAAGATGATCCCACTCAGCCTCTAAACGCCTGCCGGATACACGGACACCTCTATGTCAATAAAGTAGCAGGAAATTTCCACATCACTGTTGGCAAGTATGTCTCCTTTCATCCTGTTTATTGCATCCAATTATATCTTAACTCCAGTAAAAGTTGTTTTTAAGTACTGCGGACCTACTTTTAGAGTTCAAATGTGTCAAGTTGGGAAGTCTGGGTTGGGATATCTTCCCTGAATTTTCTTATTTCATTTCAGGGCCATCCCACACCCTCGAGGTCATGCTCATCTAGCGGCCCTGGTCAGCCATGAGAGTGAGCTGAAGAGCTTCTTCAAACCTAGCATAGCAATGTTCTAGAATAAAGTGCTTTGATTCTATTGATATTATCTGAATGGCTCATTCTATGTAAAACGTATCTAGTGCTTTTGAATCCAGACCCAAAGGCAACATCTGTTCCACTAAAAAAAGCAAATGGTGCCTTAAATTTTTTGTCTAACAGGTCAGTTTGCTAATAAGGACTGTTTAATGTTTCAGCATACAACTTCTCCCATCGGATAGACCACCTGTCTTTTGGAGAGGAAATCCCGGGCATATTAAATCCACTGGATGGCACGGAAAAAGTGTCTGCAGATCGTAAGTAATCGAAACATTTATCAATATTTAAGGAAATAAGTGTGTGTGTGTGTATGTGTTATGCATTTTTCTAATTAAAATCAAATTTTGACATACACACACACAATACACTAAAATACAGAAGTTTGAGAGCATTTTTGCGTTTCTCTAATTAAATTATCTTCAATAATCAATCATATTTTTTTTATTACAAATTATATTATCACCATAAATATATATTTATACTGATAATACAATTTATATATAAATAATATATATAACAAAATATTAAGATAATTAAAATTATATTATACTGTTAGATCTTAAATCTGAAAGCATTTTTGTAATTAAATTATCTTAAAAATATATAATATCGGCATAAATATATATTCATGCTGGTAATACAGTTTAAATGTACAAATATATAAATAATACATTTAAATTATAATATTTAAATAAAAAGTTCAGTTCAGTTATTTTTGTAAATTATTGACCATTTTGGACCATTTTGGCATTAATATTGGTAATTCTAACCTTACACTCATAGTTTTTAATAGACTACATCACATCCGGTCGCATATGGTCTAGCCGCAGAAGTTCAAATATTTTAACGCATCCGCAGCTCAAATCGGATCCGAATTTTCCACGTACGCATATGATCGGAAATCCACGCAGCTCCCGCACTACTCTCCGTTGGAAATGAATGACTTCCGGTCTGTCGCTTGTCGGAGATAGTGGAAAGGCGGCTTTACCATACTGTGATGGAGCGACGAGACAAAAACATTAAAAAACCCATTATAAACGAGGCATTTGTTGCATCCAGTGGGGACATAATTACGGATTATAATGACTTATACTGTCTTTTTACGCGTATCTTTAAAATATATAATATCGGCATAAATATATATTCATGCTGGTAATACAGTTTAAATGTACAAATATATAAATAATACATTTAAATTATAATATTTAAATAAAAAGTTCAGTTCAGTTATTTTTGTAAATTATTGACCATTTTGGACCATTTTGGCATTTTTCTAATTCAAATTATATTACATCAGCATAAAATTAAAAAAAAAAAAAACAATCAGCAAAAATTTCTATTTCTGATGAGGCTGACTATAAAAAAAATGTCTTTCTCTTTTGTCTGCTAGATAATCAAATGTTCCAGTACTTTATTACCATTGTGCCCACAAAACTGCAGACGTACAAGGTGTCAGCGGACACACACCAGTATTCTGTCACTGAGCGGGTGTGCAACGGCAGCAACAATACTACGGCAAGAATGAAAGTTACGCCTTCTTTCTTTGCGTGAACATTTGGGCGGCGTTATGCAAATCTTCCCACATTGTGACGTAGACATGTGGGGGCGTGTTTAAACGAGGCGTTTTGGGAAGGCGTGGACAAGTCTTAACTTTTATAAAGAATATCTCTTTGGATTTGAGACTTTAGTCTTTGCAACTTTAGGGATCTTATCCATGCACGAACAGCTTGTAACACTCCAAAGAGAAAGGAAAATTTGAAATTGCATCATATGACCCCTTTAAATTAAAGTTATATTTAAAACTGACACGATTTGCTACATTTTACAAAGTTCTATTTTAAAAAGTTATCTTTGTAAAGTACATTGTGTATACATGACTGCCCAAGGATGATCACTGATGCCACATTTGGATTCTCTTTGCTTTAGGAGCGAGTGATAAACCACGCAGCGGGGAGTCATGGGGTTTCTGGGATCTTTATGAAGTATGACATCAGCTCACTGATGGTGAAGGTGACTGAGCAGCACATGCCCTTTTGGCAGTTCCTCGTGCGGCTCTGTGGCATCATAGGAGGCATTTTCTCAACAACAGGTAAATGAGAATATTTGCTAACAAAAAAAAAAAATCTAATTTGAAAAGATTCAATGATTGCGATTTGTTTCTGCAGGCATGTTGCACGGTCTGGTTGGCTTCTGCGTAGATGTGGTCTGCTGTCGTTTTAAACTGGGGGTTTATAAACCGAAGAGTGTAAGTAGGAGTTGTTGTTTTTTGTGCTTCATTTCTAAATTTTTTGGAACTGAGCACTGATACTCCTGTTGTTTTTAGATGAGTGTTTTTGATGGCCATGTGAACAGCCTGACACCTCTCCTTTCTGAGAACGCTGAGCACTAGCTGGGCTTTCCTCCTTCACAACATTTAAAGCTCATTTCAGTCACTTTTCAGTCACAACTGTAAGTTTCAGGTTTCTGTTAATACATGATATTGAGGTTGGTTGTCATTTGTGGTACTGTAGAGATCTGTAAGCACTGACACAATAACTGTTACACTGGCATAAATTCATAAATGAATAGATTGTACCTCCCCAGAAAATCTTGTTTGGTGCAAAAATGATTTTGGTGAATTTAAATTAGTGGACAGCTTTTTAAAAAAGTGCAGCCGTTATAGAAAAGGATTCTTGCAAAAAGCTTGTCAGTTATTGCACTCATGAAGACAAATTTTATTTTTCTAAATGCAAGATAACTTGATTGTCTTTGCTTGGATGAATACTCCCTTTTAAAAAGCGCAGGTCTAAATCTGAATATCAGACCATTTAGTTTTAGTTAAAGTGACTTAATACAACCATAAAAGATGAAGTAGCATCAGGAACCTTTCAGACACAACTCATCATGACAGTATTAAGATTTGGTTGGGGATGTTTGGCGTGATAGGCCCCAACCAGATCAGAGATCTCCACCTCAGGAAGGTATGATTATTTAGCATCCATTTGCATTTCAAAAAATCGTGTATATTATTGATAAATAATGCAATCATGATTGTATTTGGTTGAATGATTGAATTATAAGGGAAATAGTGTTAAATAATTCATTTAAGCATTCTTTCTGATGTAAATTCTCATTACATTTGCATGATTACAGATCACACCGTTGATGCGTATTTTCTCGTGCCAAAACTTTTTCTAGTTCCATTAAGGTAAATTAAGGTCCCTGTAATAGTTAAATCAGAAGGAAATTTCCTTTTTTTAAATTACACTCACGTATCCTGTAGGTGTATTTTACTCAATTTGACGCTCTCCAGATTCGGGATGTTTTATTTGCTTATTATTCAGTGTGTCTCCTAAGAGTCCAAATAAAAAGAGTTTCATATGCACCTGCACACCTGTGATATCCGTTTTTAAGCATCACCATGTGTCCGTTCTTGTCTCCCGAGCTGCAAAACAAAATCTTGATTCCATATTTGACAGCTTGTCCTGAGACACTGTAAACTCTTACATTAGACGCCTCTTGAAGTACCAATCACTAAAAATCTGAGGGTTCTTTTTTTTATTAAAATGAATAAATATACAATATATTCTTACATGTCATTGAACATTCTCATTTGTTCTTTGTTGTTGCTGTCTTTCCCAAAGGACTCTAGAAAGTGCAAGCGTGCAAATGACAGTTACTAGAGCAGCTGGTTTAGAAAACAAATCAGAAATCACCTTTGTTCAGGCATCAACCAACAGAACAAAAAACCCATACAAATCATAACTAGATTTTCATTCCCTGAAGAAAAGCAGTGCTTGCTGCAATATAAAAAAAGAAACAAAAGTAAAGTAAAAAGAGATAATCCACCAACAATTTACTCACCCTCATGTCGTCCCAAACCCAAATTACTTTCTTTGCTCTAGGGAACACAAAAGAGAAATTTTGAATAATATTCATTTTCCATACAATAACGGTTACTAATTCATTATGAAGTTGTCAAGCTTAAAATAGAATAACAAATAATAAAAAAACACATAAGAGCGGCCGATTCATTACGCCAATTTTTGGTCCTTTTTGAAGGTTGAAAGCTGCAGTCCGCTGGCATTCGCTGTAAATGTATTGAAAAGAGTGACCAAGCCATTCTTCAAAATATTACCTTTTGTGCTACACAGAAGAAAAATGGGCAGGGTTGCAACGGCATGAGGATGACTAAATGATGAAGTATCTCTTTAAATATTATTTGGTAAAATGACGTTCGCAAGCACTGTAAAAACGTTGTGACCTCAGGTTTAAATTATTTGAAAAAAATCTCTCTAACAAGTTCAAGAGCCTCATCATCCACATCATGCTTCTCAGAAGCTCCTGAACCATCAGAAGGAGGTTTCAGATGGCAGTCTGGTTTTGTTCTGGCACTTTCCTCCATGCAGTTTCCATATGGCACAGTCTCCTGCTCTGCAATGTTTGAAACATATGTTCTGTCCTGCACATCCGAGTCTGACGTGTCTTCATCTGTCTCCGGAATGATCCTTAGCTCCTCTTGGGCTTGCATTGCATCTTTAGCACATGCCTACGATTCATGACAGAAATAATAATAAGTCTGCATCATGTGGCATAAATAACGGTTTAAAAAGAAGACAAGTCATTTACGATAATGGAAATCCTTTTACCTTATCGTCCTTCAAAAGGCTGAGCGCTGTTTCCACGAGCTCCCGCTCGTTCATCCAATACTTGACGACACTGTGAACGACATCGTAAGGCATAAACTTTTTTTTCCATGAATACATCCAATACGTTAACATTTTGAATAAATTATAGTTCTTAAAGCAGTTTCTACCTTTTGAGCCGCTTCTTCGCTATCCTTTTTGTTGTTTCACCACGCGTTTTCTTTATCACCGCTTCATTGTCTTTGCTTCTTTGAACGTCAGATTTCACCATCCAGGGAGGAAGGTTTCTATGCTTTTCAGACATTATTATGCAGTTTTGGGTTCGTTTGATTCCGAATATTCCATGAAGAATGTTCTTCTTAACTTCTTCATTGAATGTTTTTCTCATATTGAATGTAGTATAATGCGCCACCTTGTGGTCTGGAGGACAACTTGAAGAGGAGACCGGGGCTAGTTGACACATTTCACTCCAGTAAATATTCACACTACATACTTTAAAGTCTCGGCTTCAAATAAAAGACTAAAAATTAATTAATTAAACAACTGTATACTTTTTTTGTGTGACAACTTGCGCCAACGGGACATGAAATTATCCATCCATCCATCCATCATCTATCTATCTATCTATCTATCTATCACAATGTATAAATGCTCACATTCCGAGAACCAGACAGTGTATAATGAGAGCTATAAAATTTACTTTAGAACTTGTCAAGAGTTTATTTAACAGTATATCAGAATATCATACAGGTAAACAAGATTTTAGCAAAATTTATTATATCCGTACTGTTGCATTTCATAAAAATATTTGATCACTTAGTCTTTGAAACTATCAATTATACATTAAACCATATTTATAGGAGTACAGCTGTACAAGGTAAATACACATCTAACACTAGACAGTAATATTGATCTGAACGGGCCCCGGCATGTGCCATCTTTAACAGATTCAATATTTTCCTCAATAATATAAAATGTTTTTTTTTCTTTGTCTTATTTTCACAGCAGGCAGGATACAGCTTCAATCAGTAAAAGCTATGAGCTGTGCAATAAATGCATCCAAATTTTTCTTCACCGTTTCTCGCTGTCTGTCTCTCCATGTAAACAGCAGTTTGATCTAGCACACTGCACCCAACGATGGCAATCAATGGAGACTACAAATATTATGTGCTGGCTACAAAACCCTCAGGGAGATATGAACAGGGAGCACTTTATTGTGGCACACATTACTAATTTACTTGTTGCAACTGCAACTGCAAGGAAAAAAAAACAAAACAAACAAACAAAAAAAAAATCTTTATTTTTCTTGTTTTCCAGCAAAAAACATCTAAACATCCTAAAAGAAAAAAAGAAAATGAATTTACTTGATAATACATATTGAATTTGATTTATTTATAACTTAATTATACTATAACTTAATTATAACAGTTAAAAAAAAAGAAGCATAATTAGCCCAAATTTAGAGAGGTGTATAAAAAAATTATTAAAGATACATGTTTAAACATTTTTTTTACCCAAAATGTACCCTCAGGCCATTCAAGATGAAGATGAGTTTGTTTCTTCATCAGATTTGGAGAAATGTAGCATCACATCACTTGCTCACTAGTGGATCCTCTGCAGTGAATGGGTGCCGTCAGAATGAGAGTCCAAACAGCTGATAAAAACATCACAATAATCCACAAGTAATCCACACAGCTCCAGATCCATTGGTAAGCAAGTGATGTAAAGCTAAATTTCTCCAAATCTGTTTCCATGAAGAGATCTTCTACATCTTGGATGACATGAGAGTGAGTACATTTTTAGCAAACTTTCATATTTGGCTGAACTGACAAATTTCCATTAAATTGAATTTAGGAATCTCACAATGGTGTACATATTATGAATTAGGAATGATTGTGAAATAAAGTAAATGTATGAAAAATAATTAGTATAATAATTAATTAAAATATGTAAGTTTAATTAAGTTTTAAACAATACTGTACATTTTGGTAAATAAAGCAACTACATTTATTTTGGCAAAATACTTAGCAAAGCTTAGCATATTAAATAAATCAAATTTAATATTTATTATTTTAAATATTACATTTGCTAAGAAATGTTTGATGTATTTTCAAGTCTATTAAATAGCTTTCTCCAAAAAAATGAACCTTGTTTTAAGAATGTTTAATTTTTACAGGAAAACAAGACAAAATACTGATTATCATTATTATTTATTTTTTTTGCAGTGTTAAGAAGTAGGAATGTGATACGCTTGTATTGATATGCACCTTTCAATGCAGCTCCCGACGTAGTTTCAGGATATTCTGTGGTTCACACAACCGCTCGAAAATCTGGAATTACATTCCACATACCTAAAGAACAATTGAATTGGCACAGTTATCAGCCTGTGATCAGAATGACAGGTGCAGAGCAGCATAAGACTATGTCACAATTAAATGAATACAAAAAGAGGCAAAACACTGCATGGCATCAAACCCTCCCTCCACACTGTGAGATTCAATCACTGTAAATGTTTCTGTTGATCACTATCACCGTATGAACTCACCGTCTCTTCCATCTAATGAAAAGGTCAGAAGGACAGATGTTCGCATAGAACATTGTTTGCCGCAACAAACACAAAATTTTGATATATTATCTCCTTATTTTCGCATACCGCCGTCCACATGTGCCAGATCAGATGTTTTGATCTTAATACGCTGTTTTTAACGCTGTTTTTACTAAAACAATTTCACGACTTCAGAAAAAAAAATTGCCAAAGTTTGTCACCGTTGAATCAAAGGTGAAAACAAAAGCTCAGCTCTTAAGATATTTCTATTTTTGAAGTAAAATGCATATTTCATACTGCTCTTTGTCCTGCCAGTAAGGCACTCTGCCCCATACAACTGGGTCCCACCCTTTCATGCTAGAGAGACCCTGATCATGCCCCCATCCAGTGGCGGCATTTCACAAAACCATAGGGTATGGCGCGTGGGGGTGTTGAGAAATAAAACAATTCCATGGCACACTCTACTGAAATACAGCGGGAAAAAAGAAAGAAAGGGGGAAAAAGTCAATAATTAAACAACACTGCGTCATCAGTGTTGGTATTGTATCAGACACTTGCACTTAACATTAGGCCTTTATAAAAAACAAGCTCAAATGGAGTTAACAAGGTTTTTGGCCGGCGAATGAGGAGATCTGTGCTTTGTCTGTCAATAGAACGGCCACATCTGAGGCAAGTGCATCGCATTATACGCTTTCATCAACTTTTACATGTTATATAACGTTTATTGTTGCTATATGAGCGCTTAGTTTTTCTTGTTGTTTAATACACTGGGCCAAAATCTCATGATATAAACGATTAAGCGCTTAAGCACAGGATATTTAAAACGTACAAAAGTATTGGCTAGACGGCAAATAACCTACTTCTCCGCTCTTCAAACACACAAAAACATTAGCCTTTACAGACATAGTGTTTGAGTAAAAAAAACGCTGTACTATTCAAACATCAGTTATTTATTTACCCTTGCATTGCGAAAAAGCGGAGATCTGTCTCCTCCAGGCTGTGCGCAGCGCGTCAATCTGAATGGAGACGGGGTGAAGTTACGAGGTTTTGCTGAGAGCTTGAGGATCCAATGGCGTTACGAAGTTTTACTGACAAGCTCTTTGTAAGACTTATCATTGGTTAAAAATTTGTAAAACCCTTTGATTTAAAATAATAATAACGAATTATAATAGAGATATGAAGTTTGGATAATTTTTCATGGCACACCTGACTGGGCTAGGGTATGGCAACTGCCATACTCTGCCATACGGAAACGCCACCCCTGCCCCCATCATTTAAAAACATCCTTTTTCCTTGTCTTTGCTCCCAGCTGAACCTTAACCGTGTCTTAACCAAGCATGATGTGATAAAACGTCAAGCGATAAAGCAAAGTGACCAGAATATAAAGTTCTGGCCGATGCCAAAGCCGATAATTATTTTCATGTTATGTGCGATAACTGATAAATGGTCAATATTAAAATTCCATAAAAAATTTTTCTAGATAAATAAAAATAAAACACTAAAAGACAATAGTTTTAAATGCTACAAGTGAATTTGGGCATCACAACATCATATTGTACAGTATGAAATTAATATTCATTGCAAGACTTGCTAAAGATTACATTTAACAGTGTTATTTAATTTGAATTTTTAAAGATGTATCTAAAAATAAAAACGGGAAATGAGCATTTTAAATATCAAAACGCAAAATTAAATATCCAATATCAACCAATAACCGGTATGATACCAAAATATCATGCACATCTTGATCAGGAATGTGCATTAGAAAAACAAAGTCAATTTTGATTTCATGTTGACTTTTTGTCCTAACTAGCCGCAACTGTAACAAGCGGCAGGAAATTTTGCCAATTTGTGTATGTAGCCCCGCCCACTGTCATCTTATTGGTCCAAAACCCAAATTTATTTGTATGTAGCCCTGCCCATAGTTACATCTTGTTGGTTCAAAATCCACATTGCTGTGTACTACATAACAAATAAGTTCTGACTGGGTGTGATTTTGTTGCATCACACAGCATTTTCACGTTCGGAGCGAACAGGCACATTATTTGTCATGTCGCACTTGGTTAGGACACGGTGAAAGACTACATGTCTCCTGGTCTCAGACCAAACTGTCCTGAAAAAACATATTTTTTAAATTAGCTCCGCTAATTAGCTTCCATGAACTACAGAGCCATCGGAGACATGGGAATGAAGCTTGTGAGGTGTAAGATGGCACCCCAAATCCACAGTGGTGGCACACAGTACAGGGCCAATGAGGCCAGAATGATGTACTGAGGCTTCGAAAACATCCTCGCTCCTTCTTCGGTTCAGTTCGCAATGTAACCGAACATTTGGCTGGGTGTGGAATTCATCGACTGAACCATACTAATGTAACATATTGTCTTGGGATCTAAAGGGGCACGTCCATACGGCAGATTTGGCGATTGATATGCATTTACCTCCCATAATTCAGGCCGAATGGGTTGGCGTGATACTTACCCTTGTATCTCCATCATGTCTCCCTTTATATTTACTGTCAGTGTTTCACAATGTCTATGGTGAGTTTTTTCCATCAGACATATAACGAAACGCAATACTGAAACGTTGAAGTTCTCAACTCAACAAGTTAGTGTGTTTCTTCGGAAATCTCTTTTCATGCTACACATATATTTGCGATATTTGACCCCCAGCATCGCTAGGCAATTGGTACGAACGTCTTGAAATTATACAAAAAATAAACAACCTCTACATGATAAACAAATAAAGTGAGCTCGGGTCCACCGGAAGGAAGAACGAGGCGTTGAAAGTTCGGCTCGTTCCCCTGTGATAAGTTTCCGCTCTGGATCCAGAATTAAACAGCGAGGGCGAGCCACGCGTCTTTGGCTGCCATTAATCTGGATCGTCCGGAAAAATGAAAAACAAACTTGGATCAAAGTCTATATGAAAAGCAAGTTGGATGCGACAATCCATTTGAGGTTGATGTGTCTCCATCTGTTCTTAATATTTTCGACTTTTATGATCCATCTCCTCCGTTTTTAGGCTGTTCAAAGCACAGCTCTTACAGGTGGACCTGCCACCCTTCGTTCTGCGGGCGAAGCCCCACAAAACTGGCCACAAGGGGCGCCGTGATTGGTCCAGACTGTCACAGAATGCCACTGAAAGTCCAGGGTTTGAGGCTGGATGAGATGACGGGTGACGGCAAAGGGCGAGTGTCACACTAGCGGGGTGAGCCTACTTCCGACAAGGCAGGGGCGGCTGGAGAGACAGCACTCCGGGAGGCGGCACTGTCTACCAGGAAACACAAAGAACCTGTGAATCACCCGTTACACCTGACTGCACAGCAAGGTTACTGCTAATGGACACAACACAAGTCATACAGTGCTGGGGAGCAATGAACTTTTTAGTAGCACTTCCAGTAACAAGCTAGATTATGGTAAAAGGTAACATAATTATACTCTTCCTCATCTGTTATTTCGGGAAGTCTGATTCATTTTAGTGAATTGGTTCATTTGGACAGTTTATGTAAATGAACTACTTAAAAAAATTATTCATGAGTCACTTTGTGCTATTTTACATAGTGATGAATACAGTATTTCCAAAAGTATTCCTATGTTTTCGACTTGCTACATTGTTTATACAGGTGCATCTCAATAAATTAGAATGTCGTGGAAAAGTTCATTTATTTCAGTAATTCAACTCAAATTGTGAAACTCGTGTATTAAATAAATTCAATGCACACAGACTGAAGTAGTTTAAGTCTTTGGTTCTTTTAATTGTGATGATTTTGGCTCAAATTTGACAAAAACCCACCAATTCACTATCTAAACAAATTAGAATACTTCATAAGACATTTTTAGTGAATTGTTGGCCTTCTGGAAAAGTATGTTCATTTACTGTACATGTACTCAATAACTTGGTAGGGTCTCCTTCTGCTTTAATAATGTTAAATATATATATATATATATATACACACACACTATATATATATATAAATATATATAAATGAGGGAAATAATTACATGAAGTAATTAAAGTTATAACTGCAAATGTCTATACAATATGTATAAACATGTATATCTATAAATGTAATCTAAACATTTAGAAATGTGAATATTTACTTAGTCTAAATTTATAGATACAAATATTAATATATAAATGTAAAAATATCAATTGAAAATTCTAAACATATATGTTTCAGTGCTTCTAGTTGTATTAATTACAATTAATGTAAATTCATCTGTTCAAGTTTAATGCCGTCACCCTAACTGACCCTTTGTTCGGCCTCCATATTTTTGGCTAATTTCCGTAAGATTTAATTTAAAAATCAACACACAGATTTTCCATTTAATTTCATTAGAAAAGATCACAAACTTGTATGAAAAAATGAAGGATGGCAGCAGTTGCTAAAGTACAATTGGTAATTTACAGTTTTAGGGCGGGGCTTAGTGAAACGTCAATTGAGTTTCTCGTTGTTTTTGTCAGATAAATACTGCTCTGTTTGCAAATAAATAATCTTATAGTAATATATTGAACAATTTTGCCCCTTAAATAGGTTCAATGTAGTTAGCTGCTTTTTGTTAGTAACGAGTAGCTTGATTGTATTTGAACTATTTTACTACTTGCATCAGTTTCAATTTAGCTTCCCAACACTGTCATGTGCACATGCACACGGTGATACATAACACACAAACACACTGCGACCAATCACAGTCTAGTTAAAAGATAATCAGACATGCAACGTATGCTAGCGTGCCAAAGCAAACGGAAACAAGAAAATCTACAGATATAAAAGAAAATGTAAAGCCGAGAGATGTGCAGGATGCCACGAACCGTGTCTTTAGAGTGTCCCATTATGAAGAAATAGGGTGAGGCTAGAGTGTCGCTTTTCATGCACATGGTAAGGTTGGTAGGTACCATTCCTACAGGACAGGAAGTAAAAGATTGAACTATTGCTTTGCAGATTAGAGTTAGAAAAACAGAGCAGCTGATAGAGGAGAGGAGTTACGAGAACACTAGTTACAGGCTACTAGACGTTTCGTCACTAAATGACAGTTCACTGAAAGGTTTAATTGATATAGTGAGTCATCAAAGGCTTTTAAGCTTTTAACAGAAAGCTTTCAGCTTGAACAAACCGTCAAGACCACAGTATCCCGCTTGAGCTATTGTTCCCCGGTGCACTCCAATAAGCACATTTACGAGCATCTGCTCCATTATTTCATCCAAAATCAGCAGGTTTTAGTTTTAAAACATGATTATCAATTCTATGTTAGTCTGAAAAGTTGGTAATGGCTACACAAAATTATATTTATTTTAAACTGAAAAACGTTTAAAAGATTAAAATGGTGTTTTTTGGCTTTGTGTGTTGTGATACCCACCATATTCCGGCACCTGTCCCGTGCCCCTTTTCAACAGCAGACGTACTCGACGACCGCCGGCCTTGATGAGCTCGATGGCGCGAGTGTGACTCATGTCTCTCGTACTCTCACCGTTAATTTCAATAATCTGATCGCCAACCTGTGGACATAGGGGAAAATAGGAAAATAGGGGGATATTTTTCATCTTGAAGGTGTTTATTTTATGATAATTGACCAGAGTCAAGCTTTCCAGAGAGTCGTGGAATAAATGCAAAGACACTACTGTTCAAAAGTTTAGGTATGCTCACCATGGCTGCATTTATTTGATCAAAAATACAGAAAAAAAACAGTAATATTGTGAAATATTATTATATCAAAATAACTATTATATTATTATCAAAATAACTGTTTTCCATTTTAATATATTTTAAAATGTATTTTTTTCTTGTGATGCAAAGCTGCATTTTTAGCATCATTACTCCAGTCTTCAGTGTCACATGATCCTTCAGAAATCATTCTAATCTGCTGAGAAGCATTTGATATTATCAATGTTGAAAACAGTAGTACTGCTTAATATTTCAGGCTTCTTTAATGAAAAGATCAATAGAACAGCATTTATTTTAAATTGTTTTAACAGTTTGAATGTGAGACTCTCTTAACAGTTTTTAGAGTTTTCTCACCCTCATTCTGCCGTTGCGGATCGCAGGTCCGTCCTCCGCCAGTCTCAGCACAAACAGGTCCATCTTGTATTCCCGTCCTCCCCGGATACTAAAGCCAAATCCCTTCACACTTTTCTCCAGTTCCACAGTGAAGTAGTCATAGTCCTGGAAAAAAAAAAAAAATGAAAGTGTGGCATGCAGCTTTTCAAGACACCCCCCACATTTGACTTTTATTCAGCTTTTATCTTCAATTTTAAATGTAATATTAATATTTAATAATTTATATTCATGTACTTAACACCAAAAATCACTAAAAATGTATGTTGATGAGATTTTATTTATTTATTTATTTATTGAAATTAAGTGTAAAGGACAAATACAAATGCTCTATATTTTATATACAAAAACTAATTGTGCTATAGCAGATGATTTCATTCCGTAGAAAAAACATGGCACTTCTAATGGTGATTTTATTGATTTTCCAGCTGCACTGTACTGTAATTGTATCAAACTCTGGATGTCAAGTAATTTTTTGTGTAATAAAATGCACAGTTTGACCTGTGGTCTGTAATCGGCGATGGACTGCTGTCTGTAGTCTATCAGAGCAGGTGGGTGTCTGTACTCCATGGTGGGCGGCTGTCTGTAGTCTGCTACAGGAGGATGTCTGTAGTCGATAGAGGAGAGGAGTTACGAGAACACTAGTTACAGGCTACTAGACGTTTCGTCACTAAATGACAGTTCACTGAAAGGTTTAATTGATATAGTGAGTCATCAAAGGCTTTTAAGCTTTTAACAGAAAGCTTTCAGCTTGAACAAACCGTCAAGACCACAGTATCCCGCTTGAGCTATTGTTCCCCGGTGCACTCCAATAAGCACATTTACGAGCATCTGCTCCATTATTTCATCCAAAATCAGCAGGTTTTAGTTTTAAAACATGATTATCAATTCTATGTTAGTCTGAAAAGTTGGTAATGGCTACACAAAATTATATTTATTTTAAACTGAAAAACGTTTAAAAGATTAAAATGGTGTTTTTTGGCTTTGTGTGTTGTGATACCCACCATATTCCGGCACCTGTCCCGTGCCCCTTTTCAACAGCAGACGTACTCGACGACCGCCGGCCTTGATGAGCTCGATGGCGCGAGTGTGACTCATGTCTCTCGTACTCTCACCGTTAATTTCAATAATCTGATCGCCAACCTGTGGACATAGGGGAAAATAGGAAAATAGGGGGATATTTTTCATCTTGAAGGTGTTTATTTTATGATAATTGACCAGAGTCAAGCTTTCCAGAGAGTCGTGGAATAAATGCAAAGACACTACTGTTCAAAAGTTTAGGTATGCTCACCATGGCTGCATTTATTTGATCAAAAATACAGAAAAAAAACAGTAATATTGTGAAATATTATTATATCAAAATAACTATTATATTATTATCAAAATAACTGTTTTCCATTTTAATATATTTTAAAATGTATTTTTTTCTTGTGATGCAAAGCTGCATTTTTAGCATCATTACTCCAGTCTTCAGTGTCACATGATCCTTCAGAAATCATTCTAATCTGCTGAGAAGCATTTGATATTATCAATGTTGAAAACAGTAGTACTGCTTAATATTTCAGGCTTCTTTAATGAAAAGATCAATAGAACAGCATTTATTTTAAATTGTTTTAACAGTTTGAATGTGAGACTCTCTTAACAGTTTTTAGAGTTTTCTCACCCTCATTCTGCCGTTGCGGATCGCAGGTCCGTCCTCCGCCAGTCTCAGCACAAACAGGTCCATCTTGTATTCCCGTCCTCCCCGGATACTAAAGCCAAATCCCTTCACACTTTTCTCCAGTTCCACAGTGAAGTAGTCATAGTCCTGGAAAAAAAAAAAAAATGAAAGTGTGGCATGCAGCTTTTCAAGACACCCCCCACATTTGACTTTTATTCAGCTTTTATCTTCAATTTTAAATGTAATATTAATATTTAATAATTTATATTCATGTACTTAACACCAAAAATCACTAAAAATGTATGTTGATGAGATTTTATTTATTTATTTATTTATTGAAATTAAGTGTAAAGGACAAATACAAATGCTCTATATTTTATATACAAAAACTAATTGTGCTATAGCAGATGATTTCATTCCGTAGAAAAAACATGGCACTTCTAATGGTGATTTTATTGATTTTCCAGCTGCACTGTACTGTAATTGTATCAAACTCTGGATGTCAAGTAATTTTTTGTGTAATAAAATGCACAGTTTGACCTGTGGTCTGTAATCGGCGATGGACTGCTGTCTGTAGTCTATCAGAGCAGGTGGGTGTCTGTACTCCATGGTGGGCGGCTGTCTGTAGTCTGCTACAGGAGGATGTCTGTAGTCCACCGGAGGCTGTCTGTAGTCTGTATATGCAGCTTGGCAGATATCAGGCTTAACATCCTGCCTGGCTTTAACCTCTGACCTGTAGGTACCAACAAGATCAAACCAAGCAATCCTGTCCCACAATTCAACAGGCTAAATAATTTCAGCTACACATTTCCCACAAAATTCAAGTTTAAACCACCTAAACTCTCTGTGAATGTTGGTTTAAATACTATTACATCCAATGTACAATAAAAACAACACATGTCTAACAATGACCTTTTTTGACCATGTGACCAGGGCTTTGCTCATGGGCCATATTTATCAAGTCTCAGTTCCCATCTTTCACAATGCATAAATCAGAGCAGTCTTGAGCCAACCCTGGGGGAAAAAAAACAACAAAAAACGTGCAAACCCTGCCTGAGAGGAGAAGCATGCATTATTGAGGAGGTAAATAATTTATCATGAAGTGTTAAGTGATGTTACTCGGGCTGGTGTGAGAGAAAGACAGCAGACGCTCGAAGCATGACGTGAGACTGCCCAAGGCAGTTTGGTTGAGCCCAAAGACTACCTGACATAAGGCTTTAAACAGACGTGGACAAATGGAACAACAAAGGAATAAAAAGAAGGGATTTAGATGGGTCAGTAAGCATGTCAAGAATAAGCCCGACTCATATTTCACCCCAAAAGTCAAAAGGAAAAACATGAAAAGATATATTACAATTTATTCATTTAAAAAATTTTTGTATTTTAATTATTTTTTTGCATGTTTGTCACACTTTAATGTTTCAGATCATCAAACAAATTTAAATATTAGTAAAAGATAACACAAGTGAACACAACATCTGTGGTTTTTATTATTAAGGGAAAACAAAATCCAAAACTACATGGCCCTGTGTGAAAAAGTGTTTGCCCCCTAAACCTAATAACTAGTTGGGCCACCCTTAGCAGCAACAACAGCAATCAAGCGTTTGCGATAACTTGCAATGAGTCTGTTACAGCGCTGTGGAGGAATTTTGGTCCACTCATCTATGCAGAATTGTTGTAATTCAGCCACATCGGAGGGTTTTCGAGCATGAACCGCCTTTTTAACCCTCATGTGGTATTCGGGTCCTTTTTGCTCTGAAAATTTTTTCTTTTTCCCGAAAATACTAGTTAATCTTTATTTTATATTTCACATAGAACAATGTTTTTGTTGTACCAATGAAAAATTACTTGCATTGACATTAATGGCAATTAAGCAAACTTTCTTAAAAAAAATTTATTACCATAATGAAAAACAAAATTATATATTATTTGAATTGTAAACTACATATACCTCATGACATTATGTTGATTTTATTTTATTCTTTTAAATCAATGTATTGCAGCAATTTTTATTGTAATACATGAGAATTTTTATTAGAGATATTATTTTAGAAATTACAGAAAAACCTCTGCAATTTCATCCAGATGAAATACAGTAATGATTATTTGGGGGGAAATGTGCTTAATGGTGATAAAAAAAAAATGCTATAATGCAAAAAAAAAAATCTTAATGGTATAAAAATAGAATTTTAATATAATGTTTTTAATATTTTGAATTTTAATATAATTTAATATAATGTGCTTAACTGTAATAAAAATAATGTCATGATGCAAAAAAGATAGAAAGAAGGATAGAACGATAGATAGATATTGATTTGAAGCTTTAATATTAAATCAGACATGAGAATTATATATCCGAGCAAACGGTACCTGGTGTCATGAAGGTACAGCTGTGGCGGTACCGGCACTGATCCGATGGAGGTGGGCTGAACTCCCGGCATGCCCGGAGGAGCAGCCTGAGTCACCGCTGAGCCTGACTGCATGGCTTCCAGGCCGGCCTGACTCACAGGCAGACTGCTTTGAGTCACTGGTGGGCTGCTGTGCGGAGCTCCAAGGCCCAGCTCCATCAGCAGGGGGCTGGGCTGCGTGGTGGCCGGGCTGGGGTGGGGGGCTGGTGGGCTGGGATGAGCCATGGTCGGGCTCTGCTGGGCTGCTGGGCTGGACTGAGTCTGAGGGCTGTGCTTCTGGGCCACCATGGGACTCTGCTTCTCTGATGTAGGGGCCGAATGAGCACCGTTTACATCTAGGGCACAAAATGATTGTGCTTACAAAGGAAGAAGACAGAAATCTTTCTTTATTGTAAAATATTCTTATCATACCTTCTTCTGGGATGATGTGCAAGGTGACAGTGAGTCCAGCGTCTTTGATCAGCTTGACAATGTCAGCGTGAGGCATGTTGATAATAGACTGACAGTTGACGGCCATAATACGATCACCAACTTTCAGCTTCCCACAGCGATCAGCCGGACTGCCCTCGATGATGCGGCCGATCTTATGTGGCACAGCTAGAAAACATAGGAATGTAAATATCATGAGAACTGCATGTAAAATATTTTGATCATATTTCAGTGAAAAAAAAAAATACAGTAAGAAATGTCATATTTCCCTCCAATATAAAAGAACATTAAAAATAGAAATTAATATTTTCAATAGTTTTAGTACTGTTAATTCTTTTTAACAGTGAATAAGTGAATAAGTGAATAAGTGAATTAATTAGAAATTATATTAATAATAATACAATGAAACATATTTTTATCAATATCATCATCATACATTTATTTGATGTTTAAAATGTATATATATTACTATTATAAATATTCTCATTAGTAATCTTAAAGTGGTACTAAAATAGGCTTCATTTGCTATAATACATATTTTATTAATATTACTATTATAAACAATTTATATTTATAATTTATATACATTTATATTATAAATATTCTTAATAGTATTACGAATGGTACTAAAATACCAATATCATTTTTGTTGTAATAAGAATTTTAGGTCGAAAGAGGTGTCAAATAGATTTATTTATTATTTATTTTAACATGTTTTGTGAGATTTACCCAAATGTGGATAAGATTAAATGGCTTCCTTCCTTTGAAAGGAAATGGCTTTCAAAGCTTAAACTATCTTCTTGCACACAAATAAGGGGCCTGATCCCATACTTTCAATACATGTGCACTACAAAACTTTATAAATAAACGTGTCCCTTTAATAGATCACCATGTGTAAAACTGCATTAGTGTTCACCAGAGCATCAGATTAACAGCTATGTGAAGGCAGGACTTACTTATTGTGTTTGTGGTCTCTGGACGGTTGAGGGAGCTGATGATGACAAAGCCAAAGCCTTCGCTTTCCTTACGGTGGATAACTACATCAGTGGTGGGGGGCAAGTTGACCGGGCACACTGCATGACCCCGGGGAGAACTGCTTTGATTGGCTGCTGCACCGTTTTCCTCACATGGCTGGCCTGCAGGTGGAAGCAAACACCAAACCACAGCAATGTGACTCAAGAGATAATTGCCACAAATTACTGCAGTTTTATTCTTGATAATGTAAATCCCAAAATATGAAATAATAGTCAGAAAAATCTGTTTTATTTTTAATCGAACAGTTTTTTTTAACCTTTAGATACATTTTTAAAAATCTAAATATAAAAATCTAAATAAAAACAAAACAAAACATGTTTTATGTTTTGTGTCACATTTAATACATCAGGCTTTAATGACTCAAATAGTCTGATATAGTGAAAATATGGAGCTCACACCTACTTAGGAAAAAACACCTCAATTTTATTCAGAGGCCCAAACTGAGCAAAAATATGCAATTTGGTGCAGTTGCTGATATTTATATGGCTAAAAGTAAGATGAAATTCTGATAGTTTTTAATGTAAATACATTTTTTGCATATAAATATCAGTTTTCACTCTATATCTCCCAAAAATGTCTTAGTAAGATGATATTTAAATGTTTAGTTTTGCATACAATGCAAAAACCTATAATGCAATGCAATACAAAGATGATTAATAGATGTACAACATTCCTCAGATGCCTGATATATCATATTTGACATGATTTTTCATGTCATGAAAAAATTGAAATTGTTTAAGTTGAGTAAATGTTCATCTTGAAATATTAATGACAACATAAAAGATGTTCTTACATTTACTTTGTAAAAATCAGTAAAGATTATACAGCAAGAAAACATGTACAAAGACCTGAAGGGGGACATTTGTACAATTCCACTGTAAGGCCTTTAACTATCAATTTTACTATCAACTATCAATCAGACGACAGAAGGCATGTAGTAGATTGTGTACAATAGGTTTTCAGAAAAGTTTTGATCATGTTCATAATTCGGAGGCCTTAGAAATGTGTGCATCAAATATGATACACTGGGCTTTATAGGGTTAAAGGAACAAAAAAAAATTACTCATCCTAAATACCTATATAATGGAATTTGTTGTTTTATAAACCCTGACAGTGTAGTTACTGACTGGATTTGAGGATAAAAGTGTTGCTTTAGTTGTCACTGGAGGGTTTTTGCTCACCCTGCTGCAGCAGAACTCTCCTCCTTACGGTCAGGGTGACCTGTCCGCTTCGTGCCGCCGCGTGCATGAGGTCGATGACGTAGCGGTGTGGTCTCCCCGCCACGGGCATCCTGTCAACCGAGACCAGCTCATCTCCCGGATGCAGTCTGCCGTCGCGCTCCGCAGGGCTGTTCTCTATGATTGCTCCGATCACAATCTGTGATGAAAAATCAGTCATCACGTTAATGTGAACTGACATGCACCATCTCATAATAATATTGTCACTAGTTCTACATGTTCAAACAGCAATTTTCTTGACTAGTTGATGGGATACATATCTAGCCTGACAGAAAGTTGCAAATACCAAAATGAAAATACCACAGATTACCAAAGACAACTAGCTAAGAGACGACTGTAAATAAACTGAACCAGCTCACTGTTACAAACATGTACAGTGGTGGTAAATGGAATATTCATGGTATCAGATGCTAAGTCTATTTGTTACATGTTCTGTACCATAATTGTTAACCATAACTATTATGAAGAAGAAAATAAGCAGTAAAAAAACAAAGTTAACCAAAATACAAATTAAAAAATGCAGTGCAAAAGAATTAAATATATTTCTCAACCCTGACTTCAGACTTCAAATGTATTCTGTCAAATGAATAAATAAATATACAACAAAAGCAATCTAATTAAAAAAAAAAGTAGTTGTTTGATTGCCATGTAAAACAACCAATCACAGTGTTTTGTGTCTCATTACAGGCAGATGGAAGAACTTGTGATGGAAAGGGATGAAAACTACACTGAATTGAAATAAAACTAAAAGGCGAATGAAATAAAAAAATTATGAAGAAAAAAAAAAACAATTTGGACAGGGCATTATAATAAAAATATCATGGTATGAGTCATTTTAATTTTATAGTAACATCTCATAATATAGTTAGTTAACCCCACAAATTGTGTGTGTATATATATATATATATATATATATATATATATATATATATATGCACATTTTCGAGTGGCCTTTTATTGTGGCCAGCCTAAGGCACACCTTTGCAATAATCATGCTGTCTAATCAGCATCTTGATATGCCGCACCTGTGAGGTGGATGGATTATCTCGGCAAAGGAGAAGTGCTCACTAACACAGATTTAGACAGATTTGTGAACAATATTTGAGAGAAATAGGCCTTTTGTGTACATAGAAAAAGTCTTAGATCTTTGAGTTCAGCTCATGAAAAATGGGGGCAAAAACAAAAGTGTTGCGTTTATAATTTTGTTCAGTGTATATATATCATGTAGCAATGTGTATTAATCAACTTTATTTTTTTATTTTTATTTAGAAGTTTTATGGACACAAATTTATCTAATAAAATGTCATCAGACACATCATAAGTCATCACAAGCAAAAACAGCATGTACGTATGGTGTCAGTAAGCTTTTTTTAAAGAAATTAATATTTTTATTCAGAAAGGAGGCATTAAATTGATTAAAGTGACAGTAAAGACATTTATAATGTTACAAAAAATATATATTTAAAATAAATGCTGTTTTTTAAACCTTCTATTCATCAAGTAATCCTGGAAAAAGTATGTTTTTCACAAAAACATTAAGACAAAGCATAATTATAATTATTTAATAGAGTAATGATGCTGAAAATTCAGCTTTGCATCACAGGAATAAATTACCTTATAAAACGTATTAAAACAGAAACAGTTGTTTTAAATTACATTGTTTGTCAATATTACTGTTTTCACTATGTTTTTGATCAAATAAATGTAGCTTTGGTAATCATTAGAAACCTATTTCAATAACAAAAAATCTTATCGGATACCAACTTTTAAACGGTAGTCTATGTCCCTCATCATCATAAAGCCCAGCTCTAATAATTACTACCAAAATTTTCTAAACTAACTACTATACTCACATACCATATTATTATGGTACATGCCCAAAAAACATGTTTTTGCTATTGTAATGTTGTATAAGTAGCTAAAGGAAGCAGGAAATGATTTTCAGATTTTTTCAGGAAATGATTGTTTCCATCTGCTGCTCGTGGAGCTGTACAGATATGGACCAGTATCTGTTTATCCTGCCCCATACGAGCCTTGTCACGGGTCTCCGGACTCACAGCCTGCACCGCCTCGTCTCCACCCAGGATCCTAAAGCCAAAGCCAGTCTTCTCACGCAGCAGGTGCACTTCCACTTCCTGATACTCCACACCTGAGGAACAAGATTCACAGTTTAGATCACACACACCAAACTCAAGCTTGATTTAATTCATGGTGCTTCCTTGGTTAGGGATATTTAATCCCCTAGCAACCACACAGCAACACATTAAAATCCATTCTATGAATGAATGAATGATGCATTTATATAGCGCTTTATTGTGTATTGTTGTACACCCAAAGCGCTTTACAATCATGGGGGGGGGGGTCTCTGCTCAACCACCAACAGAAAGCTATGATCCTATAAAATGTAAGAATTGATCATGTTTGACATGAAAGCAAAGAGCAGGACTTCTTCAGAAACATCAAACCATTCCTAAACCTGAACACAAGCTGTAGGTCACCTCACAAACTGGAGTGCTGAACTTTCTGATGTAGTGGAGAATAAGAGTACAGTGGTAGACAGAGAGCTAAATACAGAGCACTAAATTCACATGGGTTCCATAAATTAACTATTGAAACGTGAGTAGCAGCATATGTGCTATGTGACATAAAGAAAGGGAAAGCAGCACATTCCTCTACTTGCCTGTAGAGTCTGTCAGCATCTGAGGGACTGGCTCTGTGTGAATGAGAAATGAGAGCTTGAAACGATGAAATTATTCAAAAATACTTTGTACTATCAACTGGCTTCATGCTTTATTTAGGCTCATATGTGGAGGAGTCACAAGGAACCTGTCAAGAATTTTAGAGCCTCATATTTCACCTCAAATTTAAAGAAATAAATAAGAAATTATTATTAGATTGAAGAAAACGAGGCCTATTTTTTTCTGGTATTGATATTATTTTCATGAAAATGAAGCACATTTTGCTTCCCAATTGGTATTAATATAATGTGAAAAAAAATATTATTTAAAGGGATGGTTGATTGCGATTTCACTTTTTTAACGTTAGTTAGTGTGTAATGTTGCTGTTTGAGCATAAACAATATCTGCAAAGTTGCAGCGCTGAAAGTTCAATGCAAACGGAGATATCGTCTTTTAAAATTTTGGCAGTTTAATGCCTACAATTAAAAATATATTTATATATTTTATTTCATTTTTATTTAATATCTTTTTTTTTTTTTCCATGACCAGTCTAGTAGTTGTTTGTGAAAATTGGATGACTTTTGTAAAAATTATTTTTATTCAGACCAATTCGCTAATGACTCACTTTGTGAAACTGTTTGGCCAATTTTTTGGTCAGTAGGGCTTGTGAGCAAATATAATTCACACTAGAGCACTTTCCAGCTGATGAAATAGAAAAAAGTGTATTCATCACATAATGCTTAATACCTAACCAAGATTTTTTAAATTATTTTTAAGATTTAAGATGATTAATTTCTATAAATTTCTAGGTCTTTCCGATTTCCAAAAAATTCCAGCTTTTCCATGACTGTGGGAACCCAGTGATAATAGTATTACAGTATTGTTTTGTTTTTTTGTTTTTGTTTTACTTTGATACAGTAAATAATTATTATATAGTAGTAATTAGAATTTATTTACATGAATTCATTAATGAGAATATGGGGAGAAAAATGCATTATATGTGGCCAATCCTGCAGGTAAAAACTTTTGTATACTGGTATACAAACACACTCTCACACACACACACACACACACATAAATCTAAGCTGATATATTAAAAAAAAATTATATAGTTATTTATAAACAACTAGAAAATGACCAAAATCTCTGACTTACGTCTGCTTTCATAAATGGCACGTGACTTCTCATAGAGGTCATAGGGGTCAGGCTTGCCCAGGTGGAAGACCTCTGTGTCCGGAACAGAGGAGCGATGGAGCGGCTGGCCGGGATGTGGAGCACCATGGGGGAGCAAAGCAGCCGACAAGCTGGTCTGGGGGCTTCCTTGAGGATCCCACTGTATGGACAACACAGATATAGACCGGTTTGAGTGAATAATATTAATACATGCACCAAAAAGAAGTGCAAATCTCTCATGAAGATCCTTTAAAAGTTCAAGAGGAGAACATTCGGCGTGTCATAAAGGTGACCGCTGTCATTACTCCTGTCCTCTTTCTGCAAGGAGAGAGTTTAGCAGTCCAGTCGCTCTCTGGAGGTTCAGTGGGGGAGATGAATTAAGCCCTAAGTGAGGGCCTAAAGTATCTGTACTACAGTCATGTGCCCCGGGGGCTAATGGATCCTATTTCCTGTGAGCTGTTCATTTCACCTGCAGCTCTCTGCTTAATCTGCCAATTCCATTACGAGCCCTGAGTCCAGCCGAACTGGGCGGCTTCTTGAAAATGATGTATCTCACACCCGGGATGAAAGTGAACTCACATGAAATTAGATATCACAGCCAGTTCTAGAAATACCTAAATGTGCTAAATTAAATGTTGAATTACTTTACAAGAAACTTAACCTGAGATGTACAGTCCATTTAGTTTCGCAAACAGCATTTGTAGATCTGCAATGCAATCAAGACATGTAAAACTAAGATTATACAAGTGGACTAAAAACACTGTGAAGCATTCGTTTGTTGTGGGATAGTGACAAGCGCAGCCTGGATATTCTGCTAAATATCCCCGTTGTATTAAATGTCTTGCTGGAATACTTGATTCTGATTGGCCAATCAGAAAACAATCATGCAGACAAATATTTTTGTTTAATGGCCGCTAAACTGTTAACTGCTCATTTTTTATTACAAAATAAAAAAACATGCATTTTATTATTCATTAGATAAATTACATAATTATTAAAAATTATATATATTTTGTAACTAGGATTATTATAGTTAACTAAAACTGTTACTTCAAATAAAATAAATGTTTACTGAAATATGTGACCCTGGACCACAAAACCAGTCTTAGGCCCCGATCACACCGAATGCGTTTTTTAGGTCTGAAACCGCGAGGCGCACCTTTTTTTGGTGACTTTTAAAAAAGAGCAGTGCGCTGCGTTTTTTTTATGTTGCTAGGCAACCACCAAATCAGCTGCCCTGTCAGTCTAATCGCACGAGTGCTCTAAAATCCTTGGTTTTTGCTGTTAAAGTCAGCATGAAACGTAAGTTGCGATTGTCTTTTCTTCTCTACTGTGACGTATATCCGAGTGAAACGGCATCTGAAATGAGAGGGCGGGACTTGATTTCGTCCTTCGGGAATTGATTGGATCGTTGGAAGGTGGGGCGTTGCAAACAAAATGGAGGCAGATCTGAATGCCAGTTTGCAGTTAGTGGTGGGGGATTTCTCTCCACTGGATTCACAGCCGACACCCAAGCATGAATAAATGTTTTATTTATTAAGGATGACCACGACGATCAACGGCACAAAACATGCCTAACAGCACGCGCGTACTGTTAGGTACCTTGAAAAATAGTTATGTTTTCTTATAAGATGAGATGTTGGCTCAGAAGAGTTATTTGTACAGATATCCGACTGCGCTGTAAGTGTTTGATTCATCATGGCAATTTGTAACTATTTTACGTTTGGCAAATGGGTTGGTTAATTCACATGATGTTTTCATACGAATCACATAATACAGATTCATACGAAATCACCACCTTGGAAAATATCTACATATTTTTATAAGATCAGCTTGGCTTAGAAGAGTCATTCATTCAGGAATCTGACTACTCTGCTTGCTCTGTCTGTTTTGTTCAGCGCCACTGAATAAGTAGTGCAGGAAATGTCCAAGTATTTAATGGCGTTCCAGCCACATCAGTGGAAGAAAGCATGTGCGAGAACTGTTAATGGAACCGAATGTCATGTGGTTGAATCTGTACTGAAGCCTTACTTTACAACCCTTTGAAGTTACAGCAGGTGTCAGCTTAATAACATGCAAAAACAAATAGTAGTTTGAGAAAGCAAATATTTCAAATCATTTACCTGTTTTGTGGGATCCCAGGGTGTGTAGAGGCCTGACAGAGAAAGAAAGAGAGAATGATTAATATCATTAAATCTAAGGAGTAAAATGATGTGTTTTTCATTTTAGTCACATAATATCCTTCCATTATTCTCTTCACTTTGTTGTCCTGTAGGCGGTTGAGTGAGGAAAGTTTATTGCATTTATTTGCGAGGTAATTACATCATTAGCTTTGAGCAGATGCCAAACTCATCCTAAATAAAAAAAAGACTAAAATTGAGCCTGCCAAACAGTATTTAGTACCATAAAGGAGACAGCAGACACTAAACTAGATTTTTTTTTACAACATCCAGTCAGTCCTGAATGATTCTAAAATAAGAATGGCCAGTAACGCTTTTAGCATTTGTGTTGAATCTATATCACTGTAGCTACTGAATCACTCAGCATCACTGGCCTCATTCGCATCGGAAAAATATCTGTAGTAAAATATCTAAGTATTAGTATTAGGATAATCAGAAAAAAACCCTCAAAACAATCACTTAGGATTATGATCACTTACAAGAACAATAAATGGAAATTAGCATTTTTACGATTATTATAACAGCACATTTTAAATGTGACTCAAGCTTGAGGTTTTATATCTGTACAGTACAGAAATAATTTTCTTAGTATTTCTGTCATAATAACAAAATAATTTTTATTATTGATATTTTTGATTCCAGTAAATACATCAGAAAACCCATTATAGCAAGATACTTTATTTATAGACATACTGTGTACTTTTTTGAGATAGACATTTGCATTAGATATTAAGATTATTTTTCTGACTCCACTGGGATAATTTTGTTGTTTTTCTTGTTTCATTAAAAAGTGTCAATGGAGTCAGAAAAATAAATCAAATTCAAAATACATTTTCTTATTTCACACAATTTTGCAAATTAAAAATAATTAACTAATTAAAATGAAATAAAAAAACTGATAAAGAATATTGTGTTTATATTAGTAATATTGTATAAATGACATCTATGGAATATAATGAAATCTAAATCAACTAACTTTTTTTCCAAATAAAAACTATTAATGAAAAATATTATGACATAATGTGTAACGTATCATACTAACCACATCAGGTTACACTAACAGAAAGCCATTTTAATGGTCAGACTGGGTAGAAATTGCTTTGCATTGTTACAACCACACATTTCACTTTTTACAATATGCAAACAACTACCACAATCCTGTTTTATATTTAGCCCACACATATAATAAAATGCATGATGTGCATTTGTGATATGACTGCCTGTGATATGAAGAAGGGTGATTAAACCGTGGCCAGAGGTGCTGTGAGAATAATGAGTTATGACTTTTCATTTCTTAGTCTCAGACCTGTTTCTTTCAATTGCACAGACTATAATGTGAGTCTTTGTGCTTGTGTGTGCATAAAAATGCGCATGCATGTGTGTGGCCTGTACATCTGGGTATGTGTATGTGAGTATTTGTAGGGGAGCAAGGCATTTTTATGCCTACTTAAACTAACAGGATTACATCAAATGCTATATGACCAGGACACGACTTGGAAGTTAAGGGCTAAACATAAAGCCTCGGGCAAATACGCACAGTCGTGGCACTCCATAAGTCCTCTTCCTCCCCCAATGCATCATAACAGAAGCCATATGGACAACAAAAAGCAGAGAACTTTGATCAATTTGCATGCAAGGCTTCAAGGATTTGTCCTCTTATTTCTTGATTGCCGTATTCAGACTTGAACACTGTCAAAAAAGTCAAACTTAAAAGTTGAATGCCATGTCAATGGCCTCGTGCGTCCTTGGGTTTCATTCATGACATGCGTCTCTCTCAGGTGAAGTCTCTGAAAGGTGAGTTAGATGGAATCATGAGGGATGCGGGGTGACTGTCAGCTCCGAGTTCTCTGAGACCCCGATATAATAGAGCCAAGAGGATGTAATAGAGCTGTCGGCACTGCTAAAATGCCACGGCCCTGGTGATATTTTCGACAGTACAAGGAGTCAGAGGAGTTATCACCTCACACCTGCCTGTCCAGTCCTACCTGAGATGCCAATAATCCTCATAAAAGAAGTGCAGAGAGGAAGATGGACAGTGGATTTGTGCTCTGACTGCTGCACTAATAAGGTAGAGAAATGCTGGAAGAATTACAAATGGGAATTGCAAGGACAATTCTGGTTTCTTAATGATTCTTTTAGTACTCTGGGCAAAGTTGGAGATAAGAAATTCATTTCTTATTGCATTTACCTCCCTCAGCAGTCAGCTGCCAAATGAGATCATTTCTGATTCCAACAGAAATAAATGTAGAGAAGTTATTGCAAAAGTTGCATTTATGCACGTGGGTGCAAATGCAATCCAATAACTCGTCCTAAGTAGGGCTGGGCAATTCACTGAATATTTGCAATATATATTCATTATAATTTTGCTGGCAGAATTACATGCAAGTATATATTGCTATTTATTTGTATGTATGTTATGCTGTAATGGTGCATATAATTAAAACCTGATCAAATATATATATATATATATATATATATGAGCAATATCACTCGAGTACGAGAGTGA